AATTTTTTTTTCAATTTAAATTTTAATTACAGCTTGAATTAAATATTTATTTTTTTAAATTAATCTAAACTAAAAATACATTTTATAAAATAAATTTTTTTAAATTACAATCACATTATCTGCTGCATCACCAAATACACTATCAATTATCGTCGTGATGAGTATTCCTGATTGATTTGTTTTGGTAATCATGTGACGTGTCGTGCTCCGTCCTGTATTTATAAGACAACCTCGTTGTGCTGAAATTAATTTAAACCCACGCCCTTCACGTGAAATCATTGGGGTCCTCTGTGTTTTGGGGCTTTGCATCCGCACAATTTTGTAAATCTCACTATTTTATTGACAATCCACGCTTGGAATTTTGTAAATCGTTGGATTTCAAATCAATCAAATTATTAAAACTTTTATTTAATTAAATATATTTAATTGATTAAAAATATTATTTAATTTAACTAAAAACTTAATTCATATCAAGTTTTTAGTTAAATCAAATTTAATAATTATAGATGTTAAACCACTTTAAATCTTTTAGGACAGCACTAGTCTTATAACTAGCATTTTGCTGCGGATGGAATTTCAAATTAATTTCTAATGCAAGAAAATAAGAAGGAGGTGCCATGGTTCCTTTTTAATTGGAAAATGAAAACAAATATCGTTTACCTGTTAAAATAAATTAAAAATATATAAATAAAAAGAGTTATTAACCCTAATTAAATACTAAATCTTATTTCCAGTGAAAGCAAAAGTTGTCTTTTTATATTATACATTTATATTTATTTTATTCTAAAGGTTAATCACAGCTACTAAAAACAAATAATTTTCATTTTTTATAAATATATCATGCGAATGTAATTTATTTATATACATTAATGAAATAAAACTTCACTTTTTGCAAATAAATCATTACGCTAGCTTGCTAATTTTTTTATTGCGTGTTCTTAAAATTAGTTAGTTTTTTTTTTAAATATATTTTTTTAACTTTTAAATCGTTGTAATATGTTAATATAAAAAATAAAAGTTTATTTGAAATATATTATTTTAATATATTTTAAAATAAAAAATAATATGTTACTGTACCAAACAGGCTATCATTAAAGCCACCGTAAGCGTCGTAGCCAACCGGCTGGCAGCAACAGTGTCGCCAAGTCCTGAAGTGACAGCTTGCATGTAAGAAGTGGTGACTGCTCACACAAGAGCATTTTCCACACGTGGTGGAGTGAAGAACCAGTAATTGACGTGGTAATAACCTCCACGCCCTGTAATTAAAACAATTTTTAATACTAAAGCGAAAGGTGTAAAAAGACCAAATGTTCAGGTACCAAAGTGAAGTCTTAGATGCCAAAATGAAAAGGGGGTCTGTTTTATTATTTTTTTGTTTAATTTAGTCCTTGTTCTTTTAATTTCTCTTTTTATTAAACAGCAAGTAAGTTGCTGCTGCTTAATAAATCCTTGTATCGGTAGGAAACAGGGAAATCAAGCCTTCCTTTTAAATCCTTGTATCGGCAGGAAACAAGAAGGAACAAATACATTAAGCCTTCCTTTTAAATTGCTAGCTTCCGAAGTAAACAGGGAAAGATTTCCCTCTCAGTCGTCCCGACCGTGATTCATTGCCCTATTTAGCCAGCACAAAGACAGAACAATAGTGTTCTGTCTTAACGCATCTTGCTTTGTAGTCTCTCTAATTCAATCTATGGCAGAGATTAGAACAATTCGAATGCCGAATCACCAGAGGAAGACGATCCTGGATAGAGACCAAGCAAGCCATGCTGTGAGCTTCTCCAAGCGAACGAAAACCTTGAAGAAGAAAGCTCACGAGCTTCAGACACTGTGTGATGTCAAGATTTGCATGGTCTGTTTTGGTCCTGACAGCACCGTCCAGACATGGCCAGAGGGTGCTGTGGAGGTCAAGGATGCAATCATGTCCTACAAAGGACTCGGTGATAGAAAGAAATACGAGAGCAGCCTCTTGGGTTATTTGCATGATAAAAAGATGAAGCTTGAAGTCAAGAAACGGAAGGTGATGAAGAAGGTTAATAAAGAGCTCTTTGCCAAGTGGTCCGATCATGTTGATGGGTTATCTGATGAAGCTTTGAGGGACATAGTTAACACTTTAGAGTCTAGAATGTTTGATTTGAAAGAGAGAATAAAGTTATGCATGCAGAGGGATAAGGTAAAGGCAATTCAAGATCATGTTGATATGGAACTCGAGATGGATGGATCATCCGTTCCTAGCAGTGCTGCTGGTGCAACTGCGTGGCCAGCAGAGGTCATGGATACAAACATCAACATTGTGGAAACTGTTGGTAATAATGACAAGGAGGCAACTTCCACCAGCTTTGAGATGCCACCACCACCAAAAGATTCAAGTGACTGGATGGAGAATTTATGTAACTGGATGGCGAATGATGAAGCCTATCAGCATGGTTTTGAAGATGATGATTGGTTTAATGAGTGGGAAGCAAAACAATATGATGATTGTCGGCTGTAGTAGTATTTGGCTTTCTTTTTTAATGTTAAGATGTATCTAGATTCTATACTAATAATTCTGCAACTCAAAGGTCTACTGAAAATTCACTGCAAACAACAATTGAGAAGGAAAAAAATGTATGTATGATAGTCAATTAATCATGCCTCTTTTACAGAGGAAAAATAGGTAATGAAATAAATAAATACAGCTTGACAACTCAGTACAAATACTTCAATTATCAATGAAATATTCTTGAATGTGTACTGTTTACAGTCACAGTGTTTACAATTTCTGAAAATCGAACGTCAAAGTTATACAGGAATTACAGTAATTAATAATGATCCATGAACTGTACATATTTGCCAACCGGAGTCAATAAAAATGCTATAGATATAGTAACAACAGCTTCCTCCTACCCACAAAAGATATAATAGGATCCCTCGTAAGTATGATGCCATACTAGTCCTCCAGTCATTCAGTTGATTTCTGTAAACGTTGATTTACAATATTTCTGTTCCACGAGAACATCATAAATCGTGTTGAATCACACCACTATTCAACATGCTTAAAGGATCTTAAATTTGATAAAATAGAATGAACTTTGTTGCATCGTGGAAGAACTGCCACATTGTGGAAGAATTATGCCAGAACTTCTTAGAGTGCCTTATTGTCTCCCATCTGATCTCGAGTATCCAAGGGCAAGAGAGATAAAACCCGCATCCTACAGAAAAAGGCAGCCTATCAAGATAAGCGGAAATGAAGCCAGTTTTTCATCTGAAAAGGATTATATAATTTGGAAGAGGAGGCCCAAGACCTAAATCCAACAGCAAATGGGGAGCGAGATGGGAAAAGGAAATACATAACCAAAATCATAAAGACAGGCAGGAAGACAGAAGTCAATCTCTTGTACTACAACCAGTATGTTATGGTCGATCAATATCTATTTGCAGGTTTAAATTTCCTGATCTAAAAGAAGCCCATTAAATTTTATCCATCTCTGGCCATGGGAAGAATGATCCCCAAAACACAAGTTCAAGGCTAGTGTAATTTCAAAATCAAGCTTGAGCAGAATATTGATAAGCTGAGTGCCTTGTCAGATTCTAACGAGCAGCACTCGTGAAGCTCCCCTCCATTACAGAGGCTCATTCAGCATTGTTCAAGAAAAAATGAGTTAAGTCTACCAATAAGTGAAGCCCAGCAATTATAGTAGGATGATGAAAGGACGGGTCCAAGAGTTCATAATTCTGATAATAACAAATGCTGTCAACATTAATACCCCAGACAATGTAAGCACATCCAAATGCTGTTTCTTTTCAGTGGGAAAATAACTCAGCTAAGAGGAATCTTACGATAATGTATCCGCTGCATAAAATATTGGAAGCCTTCCCAATCCCACACCTTTCCATTTTCTTCTTTGTGAGAAAATAAGTTGCTCAGCACCTGAACCTGTCGCAGCCAAAACAAACTGCAGGATATCTCTGTTACTACAGTAACCTAGCAAAATGGAAGCGTGTGCTTTTGAGGAATTGGAAAATTGACCAGAAAAAAAGGAATAAAACTATGTACCAGAGGAAAAAGAAGGGCCATAACACCATAGCTCACAAGAGTAGAGAAGAAGAAAATAGCCAAAACACAAGGGCTTCCTGGAAAGACAGGGAAGAAATCACCACCATTAGGCAAAAGAACATTAACCTGCTATTTATAGAGTGTATCACAGGTTCCACGTAGAACCACGTGGATTTTATCAAGTCAGTATCACTTTATAACAAGCAGCAGAGAAGCATGGAATCTCGAAGTTAATACAACCTTAAACATTATAATTTTCCTGGTAAAATAAATGGCAATACACTAATTGGCATCAACTCCAGTTTAAATGATTTATTACCAAAACCAGCAAAAAAGGCCCAGTTAGATTCAAAGAAATCTAGCCTTCTGTCCAGAGCCACTTCAGATAAATTCCATTTGTACCTGAGAAAGTTAAATGCACAATTAGTAATTACCCAGTCAAATAATAAGACAACAAGTAGCAGATGTACATTCCTCACTTACTCGAAACAGTAGTAAGCATACATCCATGAAAGGAGTACAAAATTGAGTGCCTTTCCTATATGTGGTATATATCCTGTGGCATAAACCTGCATGTAATTTTCAGGTATGAGAATTAAATAAAAAGCAGAGACACAGAAAAGAGGAGCCTTATTAATTCCAAATCAAACACATATCAGCTGATAAATTGCTTAAACAAAAAATAAGACGCTGCGAGAAACTTGAATAAAATATTAATAAAAAAAGAAGAAGTATGCCATAGTATCTATCTATTCATATGCAAAGGCATAGTCTACCTCTAGAAAAAAGAAGGTCAAAAGAAGTATAGAATACACTTGCTCTCCAATTCCAATCATAACCCTGCACAAAAAAATATAAAGCAAAAGTGAGCCATGCATGTTCATTGTTGAATAAGATTGTTTATTTGAGGCAAAGAAATGCAAGCAATGAGGAGCAAAGAGTCTATTTTAGAAACAAAATATTTACAGGTTGGAATCCTACCCTCCTAGACCTGCAGGCTTGTCCTTCAAGGCTGTATTTTCTGGGGTCTGGACCTCATTCTGACTTGAGGGTTCCAGTATATCATGCCCGTTTTTTCCCATTGCCTCAAAACCATACATAGCAATATCATTGTACCTTGATTAAGAAATTAGTTGAAAACATTTGTAGATAAACTTTGAATATTTTGTCAGGATATGTACTAAAACACTTGTAATAGAATTTTCAAAGTGTGTGGTAAATCTGATGCAGACCACATAGGAAGCAAGATTAACATTTTTCTGTAGACAAGGGTATGTCTGTGTTTCCATATTGTTTAAAGGAAATTCATATCCAGAAAAACCTCCAAACCTGTCCTGCATCAAAATCATATGCTCAAACTTTCTAATTAATTTGATAAGATTTCAAATATTTGTTCATACGCTATTCTCCATTTATATGGGTCGTGCACAGGGGCATAAAGGAAGATATAGCAAGCAAAGTTAAGGGAGCATAAGAAGTTTAAACTCTACAACAAAATAGAATCGTGAAAAAGAAACATGGATAACGGAAAAAGGCTATAAATAAAAAAGAAAAGAGAGAGGAGAAGAAACTTCAGAAAGAAAGAGATGCTGATTGGATAGTGCAAACTAGATGAAGATAACTCTACTTGTATATGGAAATTGCAAATTCCACTCTAAACTGATGCATCTTAGGATAGCCTTGGTATTGTAATTGACAAGCCACAGAAGCATAATGTAATCTAGTACCTAAAAAACACAGATACTCATAACCTTATAAACAAGATGGTGCCAAAAAAACCCCATCCAACTCACAGACACCATAAACTGGCCAAACCAATCAAGGAAATATTAATTAAGTACAGAACGCATCAACAGAATAGGCATATAGAATGACAGAACAATACCAAATTGTGCTCAGAATGAAGCTAAATATGTACAGCGGATAGAACCAGAACACCTGCACATAGTGAGTGGATAAGGAAATTAACCTTGGGAGCAACTAATAGATATCTGACAACAATATATTTGTGCACTAACACGCACATGCACGTATGTAAATTTGTTCACTCTGCGCCTATAATTCAAGAAACCATTGATTATACTGGCATGAGAATGGTGGTGAAGGAGAAAATGACCATAATGTTGTCTAATCATATCGACTATAAATAGAATCCTAAAGGTCGAGATTGCAAATGACTCTAGACCATGCTGTTTTACAAGACATGTAACAAAACCATATAAATTAACCCAAGTCCTTAATTAATGAAAAACTATCCATGCATCCCAGAAACAACAGCAAGAGGATATTTTAAGGAACTTGCAAATGCGAGAAAACCTGGAGCTATGATGATGACAAGCACAGAAAACTTACATAACAGAGTTGTATGAGTCCAAGGCGCAAAGACGTGTAAAGTTTTGAAACACTGTCAAACGAGCACGGTCCTTGAGAAGAAACCTCTGAGCATTGATTAGGTAATATCCATAGTAATGTTGGGATGATCACTGATTCTAAAACAAGTATGCTGCAGGGAAATAAAGACTCAAATATTCATATAATCAAATAATTAATGATGAACTGTTTTCAGCCTTTCTTAATTCAATAAACCATTAGAACGTGAATTTTGCATGCTTCATCAGGTTCTTGACCTTTTCTCTAAAACTGACTAAGACCCAGATAACAGCACAGCCTATAAACAATCCAGAAACCATCAAAAACATTATATATACAAAGAGAAAGAGTCAGTTTTACCTTCCTAAGAAAATACAACCATTCAAAATAAAACACTGCCCAGTTCGAACCAACAGATTTCTTGACCTGCTACCACAAGATTTCAAAAAAAGAAAAAAGAAAAAGAAACATATAAACTTGATTCATTGATTTTTTTTTTTGGGGGGGGGGGGGTGGGGCGCACAGAACCTGTAGCAGAGAAAAACAACTCTGTGAAGACAGCAAGCTTCCCTGAAACCTTCAACCCATAGTAACAATCCTTGCTTTAATTTTGGTCTCAATATGCCTATGAAGCGCTTCGTCGTTTCCATTCAATTCAATTGTAGAGAGGAAGAGAGAGGGGTAACAGGGGCGATGGATACAGAGAGACATGAAAAGACAAGGACTTGGCTTGACTTTATTACCTTAATTAACTCATGACTTTGCTTACGTGACAAGCTTGTATTGGTTCCTAACTACCCATCTTCATTCTTCTCAGAGCAGAAAGATTATTTCATTTTTTTTAATTGATTTGATGCGTATTAAAAGTTAATAAAAAAATATATTATTTGATGTATTTTTAAATAAAAAATATTTTAAAAAATAATAATTATTATAATAACAAACACTATCTATATCTAGTTTAAAATAATATTGTTTTAAGTTTTTTCTTTAAATTCAAAATAATTTTTTTAAAAAAATTAAATTAATTTATATAGTTGATTATCTTAATATTAAATTGGATTGATTTTTGAATTAAATTTAAAAACTTCTCAATATTGATTTAGTTTTTTTTTAAATTATATAAGAAAATATTATCTTTGATTTTCAATTAGTATATATGACTCAAAAATACTGAGTAGTGAATATTTTCAATATAATAAAGATATTTTCCATGCTTGGATTAAAAAAAAACAAAAATAACTAATTTATTGATGTTAAATCGTGCAAGGGGCTAAGGTGCCTAGAAATAATAAAGTGAGTTTTTAAATACATTGAGTTTTTAAATTACTACATAAGATAAAATACTGATACGCAATTATTTAAAACTATATAATCCTTTTATATTTAAACAACTCTAATTTAATATCTAAATATCACTAATACACCCTCTCAAACTTTGTATGGCCCGGTAAAATATAAAAAATTATTTTGAAAACATACACAAGACTTTAATGTTATCATTTGCTCCATGTTTTTTTAACAAAATAAAATTAATTTTTATATGTTTTGTTTTGGCCTTAAAAACATATAAAAGACTTTAATGTTATCATTTGCTACATACTCTTTAACAAAATAAAATTAATTTTTATGTGTTTCATCCTAGCGTTAAAAACTGAATTACAAGATAAGTAGTTTCAACATTGTTACACTATAAACAAGGCTGTCAATTGGTTGATCAGGTTTCCTTATTAATGATTGTAGAGAAATAATTTCAAAAGTGATATCAGGAACAACCATGTATTATGCTTTAGTGAATGATCTAAATATTGTTGATTGTTTCTTAATATCATAAAATCAAGTTCTTACCTAAAAACACCAAATAACCTCCTATACTTTGTTTGTCATCTTGTGTATTTGTCCAATTTTCATTGAAAAATACTTGCAACTATATTATTGTTGAAGGAAAACAAAAAGCCTTGGTTAACTGTTTTTTTAAAATACCTTAAAACTCTTTTATAACTTTATTGATGTGTAGTGGTAGGATTACATATATATTGTTATAGCTTATTGACAACGTAGGCTACACCTAGTCTTGTTAAGCAAGCACATTACAAAGAACCAACAACAACTTGACAATACAATTATAGGTCATACATTGGATTACCATCCAAGATGCTTAGTTATAGATTGGAGGAAAGATGAGTTTTTATCGACTTAGCACCATCCAACTTAGTTTTGGCCAATAAATCTTAAAGATATTTGTGTTGTGATAGTAGAATACCATTATCTTTCCTAATGACTTCAATAACTAAAAAGTAACGAAAATCACTAAGATCTCTTAAATAAAACTTAAGGCTCATTGTCTATATAAATTGACTGACCATGATAGGATTAATCCATATGATGACTATTCCATCTAAATAAACAAATATTTATAAGACTTCAGTACCATGTTTATAAATAAACAAGGAGGAATCAATGTGTGAGCATGTAAAACTAGTAGTAAGTGAAAGAGAACTCAATATTTAAAACCATGCTTTTGGAGCCTACTTCAAACTATAAATGGAATTATGTAATTTTCATATATATATATATATATATATATATATATATATATATATATTCGAGACTTCCATTAAGAAATACATTACAGATATCTAATTTTCTGGATGTCCAACCTTTATAAATTATAAGAGTTACTATGATTCTAATCATAGTGGCCTTAATAATTAGGCTAAAAGTAGCTACATAATTGATTCCTTCTTATTTGGTATCACATGTTACCACTAACCTTATTTTATATCTTTATACCTATTTATTGCCTATAACATTAACATTAGGTGATTTTGGAACCCAAATTTATATGCCATGAGAAATCAATATTGTAAGCTTAGTTGCTATAATTACTCATCATTTTGGTTGTTGCATTACTTTAGTGTGAAAAGCTGGTTTTTTCACAGACTTGTTATTGGTGTTAGTAAAAAAACTTGTTTCTTCTTGGGATTAAGCGTCAAAGTTATGAGGTGTGTTCCCACCAATTTTATAGTTGTAGAATCAACTTGTGATAATAGTTGATAGGAAATTATTATAGAAGCTTCCATAAAAACTACCATTTAATTGATGTTCATTGTAATATTGAATTTTTCTAACATGTCCATTATATTAGTTCATTGAATTTGTTCAAATATAACAAGATTTTAAGGTGTTTAAATGGGATTATTAGTTGGAGAATTAATAAGATTAGTATTTATAAATGATAAAGCTGGAGGGACTATAAACACTTAGAGTTATAGTCAAAAGAATCAGTTATGGTATGCTGACAATTTGTTCTTAGAGTGGCTTTCTAAGAATTGAGTTACTTAAACCATCTTTTAATTTATATATAAAATAACTCTTATCAAAATTTATATGTCTGCATATATAAGTTTTATTTATATCTAAACTAAAACATAAATAACCAAGATGACTAAGTGAATATTCTAAGAAAACACAAGCTCTGTAAACAAACTTATAGGTATTATATGGTTTTAGAATATAATAGAATAGATAATACAATAAATTTTTTTAAGAAATTTGTAATTAGATGAGCTCTCAAATAATTTCTCAAAAGGACTAGCATTATTCAACAAGGATTTGAACATTTTATTAATCAAATAACATATTATTGCAAAAGCATATGACCAAAATCAAAATGGAACATTAACATGAGCCAACAAGGTGGGACTAATATCAACTAAATGGCCAATTTTTCTTTCTAAGACTCTATTTTATTTATGTGTATGTCAACATGCAATTGTATATTGAAAACCATGCTATTGTAAATACTTGTTGATAATTTTGTACTCACGACCCTAGTATAATTATAAGGTCTTTAACTTTCTATCAAATAGCCTTTCTATCATTAAATAAAAATTAAAAAATATCTTATAAACATTACTCCTCGTTTAAATTGGATAAATCCAAGAAAATCTTGAAAAAATCATTAATAAAAAACATAAAATATACTTCTTTATTAAAAGAATTAATAGAAGATAGTTCATAAATATCTAAATGCATCAAGTCTAATGGTTTAGTTATAATAGAACATGTATTAGAAAAAATAAACCTACTCATCTTCCCTAAATATCAAGAACATACAACTGCTTCTCTACATTTATTGTGTCAATATAAGGTAACTAAAATCTTGCAATGATAGATAAAAGGAAAGAATAATTTAAGTGCCCTAATCTTGCATGTCAATCCTCTAAATCTACTTCTTCTTTTTTACAACAAAGGCTTTTGCTCCTAAATTAAAATTTTATGGTCCAATCCTAAAAAGCCTTTACAATCCATCTTTAATAGGGCTTTTGGGCAAGGTTGTTCAAGTTTTCTTGTCCTTCATAGAAAAATTATTAAAGTGGAATTCAAAGAAACAAAATTTATTTTTATATAAATTTATTAACAAAAAAAAAGTTTCTTTAAATCTTAAAAGCATACAAAATGTGTTTGAGTTTATTGGAATTTTCTCCTAATAAAATGGATTGACCTATATGTTTGATGAGAATACCATTATCATCATTAATAATAATAGTATCAGTACCTTTATAATCCCTAGATATATGCAAACTAACAAGATCTAAAATCATATGGTAACTAGTAGCAATGTCAAGAAACCAATTTAAATCATCAATAGAGATGGTAAAGGCAGTCTTATTTGCGATGGGTGAATTAATATTCCTTTCATACCTTCTTCTTGGTTAAATGATTCTTTCACCTATAAATTTGACCAGGACTTTTGTTGAACTTTTTAGAATTTCTGAAACTACTACCTTATTAGTTGTTATTGTTATTGTGATTTTTATTGTAGGTAGTGGTTGAGTAACATTAGCAGTAGAAACAAGTGAATGAATAGAGTTTTTCATTAAAATTTCATAAGCAATTAATTGACCTGATAAATCATGAAATGTGATATGATCTTTTTGGGAAGAAATGGTTGCAATAATATGACAATACTCATATGGTAAGAGTATGAAAATATTGGCATTAAATCCTGTATTAAAAATTTGTAATCCTGCAGATGCTAGAGTATCATCAATTAACTTTACTTCCTTTTAAAAATTGAGTCATAATTTTGACAGCTAATGTCAACTCCTTCAAAGCCAAATGGAGTTGAAGTTGTATGTTGCTTAAAATATATTTAAAATCTTGATGTGGTACTTGTCAAGCATCATAAATTATTGTCATTCTAATGACATATGAAAAAACTTCTTTTATTAAAAAGGAAAAAAATTCAACTCAACAACATTTAATTCCTATAAAACTAGCTTTGAGACTTTAGATTAGGTTCATGCATTAAAAACTTAGAGGAAAATGTGTTGGCTCATAAGGAAAGAGAGAAAAATAATGAAGAGTGTGTAGTGGTGGTGGATCTAACTAAATGTACCAAACTCAAACTCATGCTTTTGATGAAATGTTATAGACCTATTTTTTGTTCTTGCAATTAATGACTTGGTTGTCAAGAAAAGAAAAGGGGAATTAGTGTGCTGATAATTAAGTTAAGTTCATATTTGACATTAAAAGTAGGTTGTAGTTATCGTTATGATGTTGTGCAGTAGGCTAAACAAAGTTTAAAACAACCGAATTTTTCTACCTTTTAGCTTAAGGCTCATATGGGTTTTATATAAAAGTATTTTTTATTCAAATAAAAAGAGTTATTAACACGACTAAAAAATTGATGTCTTCTCCCAAGTGCAGGAGTGTCGAAGTAATAAATAACCCGGCAAGATCAGGGTCGAACCACAGGGAGGCTAATTATACAAATTATAAATAACAATTATACAACAATAATAACAATAAAAACAACAACAACAACAACAACAATAACAATAATAATAACTTATGGGCTATGAAAGTGCCAAGCATTTGTTGTACCAAGTGTTATACAACATAAATCAAGATTAGTCATTTAACAAGCAAAGTATTAAAGAGTGAACAAGATAGCAAATATAAAACATGTTAGTATCAAACATTAAAGTCCATATTAAGTTTACATTATACTTATTCTTACACCATTAGTGTAACCTTTTCACCTTGACATAATTAACTTAGCTAGACATAATGAAAGAAAGCAAAATAGATAAACAAAATAAGAACATAAAAGTTAACTAAGTAAAGGAAAGGAAATGAAAGGCATAAACTTAATATTAATGAAAACAAAGCATAAAAAATACAAAGAGAGAAAGGAAGAGCATGATCTTGATCTGGACACCAAGATGCCTAAATGCATGGCAAATGCCTCCTTTTATAGGCCAAAAATGGGAACTATTGATTTGATGACTAATTGATAAGTGGGTGACCAACTTTTGACTTGGTGACAATCCTTATCTTCTCTTGTCTGCCCAAAACGTCATTGATAACGTCAAAATTGGAGCCAGTTGTAAACATGAAAGTTGTAGGCAATTGTCTCAGCTTTCTTGTGTAAAACATTCAGCTCATTTGGACTTCTAGAACTCCAGATATGGCCAAAATACCGAACAGTGCTCGGGCTGGAAGACAGATTCGGGCTTCTTTGTTGTTGCTACAATTTGGACTTGATAATGGCCTTTTTAGATCTTGGGCTCCATATGAAAGTTGTAGGCCTATGTCTTACCTTTTCATCCATATAAAGTAGACCTAAATCTGAGTTCTATAGCTCTAGATATGATTTAATTACCGAACAGTGTTCCGGTTTGGATTGCACCGACATCTCTTTTCTGAGTTTGGCCAAATCTTTGTCCTTTCAATTTCAGTTCTTAAATTTATCAATCAATCCTTTCATTTATGTGATAGGCCTGCATTTAAAATAAACATTTACCACAAATTAAAGGTATCTTATATTATTAGATATATTATTATAAAACATGCTTTAGTTAAGGAGTTATTGATACTTCAAGTGCAAAATAATGATATAAAACCATGATAAAAATACACTTTTAAGTATTAATCAGTTATCTTTTGAGGTTAAAAGCTCCAAAAACCATGGTTGCTCTTTACTCTAAACGAATCCAAAGTTGGATGTTTGGTAAAATATGAATTTATAGATATGGAATACTCCACCTCCAAGTCTAATTAATATTTTACTAGTTAATTGATGTAGGATAAGATAGTATACTAAAAGTATAAAGAAGTTGAACTTTATATAGAAGATGAAGACTTGAAGAAAGAAGAGAGAAACCTTGAAGCATGGTTATAAAACCCGATTTAGGAATCAATCTAGAGCAAGTCCTAGGTCACAGGTCAAGAGGGTTGATAAAAAAATTAAAATGATGTTGTTTTAACAACGAAAATTCAAGAAATAAGTTAATGACTTGATTAAGTTGATAGAGTCAACCTAGGTTTCTGACTAGGTTAATTAAGTTTTTTTTTTCAACTTAGACCAATCCAGGTCTTGGATTAGCGAGGTCTAGATTTGATATGTTAGATCGGTCTGAGTTTTTAAATAATACCTTGTAGAAAATGGTTCAAACAAATAAAAGAAACACACTCAATTATAAAAGAAACCTATAATCGAAGAGGCAAATAAGATTTTCAACATTCCATCAAAATTAATCTCTAACAAATCAAAGTGTTCCAATTTTAGGAACCATGTCACGAGATGGATATGGTTCATATGTGTTTGACATTGTGGGACATGATGTTTTTTAAAAGTATTTTTTATTTAAAAATACATAAAATAATTTTTTTATTTTTAACACAAACATATCAAAATCATCATATAACATCAGAAAAGGACATCAATTTGATGTTTTTTTTACAATGAAATACACTTTTAAAAAGCTCCCAGAAATAGAAGTTACCACACTTTCATACACCTTTTAAAGTTATACATCGCTGCTTAAACTAATTAGATGACTCATACTATTGCAAACCAATTTTTCCCAACATAAAGAAAAAGATATTAATATGACATCAATATTTTCAAATTAATAAGAAAAAACTAAGATTTAGATGACTAAAAGAAATTACAAGTGTTGTCAGAACAACAACTTGGAAACAAAACCAAATAAAATATCATGAAGTAAATATTTTATGCTTATATTCAATCAATCAATCAAATTTAATTTTAAAAAATATATTTTAAAAAACCTAAATTTAATAAAGATAAAAAACAGAACCCAATATAGCTTGTGTCATTTTTAAAAGGATTGAAAAAATCCTATAGAAAATAAAAAAACAACGAAGCCTAATTTTCAATAAAATAAATATCGAATGATAAAGTTGGAAAAAAAAACTTATAAAAAATATCAAGCAAACTAGGGTAAACCTTCTAAACTCGAGTTAATCTCTTAAATTTATAATCGTTAAATCTTAGATCCAAACTTAATAAATAAACTAATCACCCAACCAATTTAAAGTTAATGGATGAGACTGGAAAAAAAATATCAACCTCAAAAAAATTTTAATGCATAAAAAACAACAATAAAAAAAGGATCAAAATTAATAGAAAGCAAATACTAGAAAAAAATGAAATTGTAAAAGAAATTCAATTTAAAAATGTTCTCAAATAAAAAAACAATAAAAAAAATGATGATTAAGTTTGACGTATGAAAAAAAATCAAGAGGATAAAACTAAAAAAAATCAAATTTAAGAAATTATTTGAAATAAAACAAATAAAGATCAAAAGAAAATGAACTAAATTTGAAGGGAAAAAACAAATTAAAGGGTTTCTTTGAAAATTTAAAGGATTAGCGTGAAAATCAAGAGATGAGAGGAAAGGGAAAGGGAAAAAAAAAATATCATCAACTCAAAATCAGAGATCTAATGATGACATGTATCATCCAATCGAGAAAGTACCATTGAGATGTAGCCACTACCATCCTGAAAGATGGTATTTGATCATTAAATGACGCTATTCGCATCATCCAATGACACTATTCGCATCATCCAAAATATAATTACAGTATTTACTTATTGTTTTAATTTTTATCTTTATCAAATGACTAAATTAACAACTAGAATCTAATACTACAAATAAATCAAAATAAAAAGACAAAAAACCTATAAACTCAACTTTATTCTCTTGTTTTTTATTTTTTTTAATTTTAATGGCAAAAAAAGCTATTTTATTGTTCCAAAAAATATTGAAAGGTTTAAAAAACCTGTGAGTGTTTTTTTTTTTTGGCTTTTAAGGGTATGTGTGTAATTTTATTGTGCAGATAATATTGAAAAGACAGAAAATCTTTTGAACAATATATATAGTATTCTTTGCTTTTAAAGAAAACAAAATCATTTCACTGTGAAAAAAGCATGTTGACAAATTTATTCTAGTTAATTTTGTAATGGCTAATGAATCGCCTCCCCCAGTTGCAAGTTTTGCTGGGTTTATTAAAAGAATAATAAAATCATTTTACTATTCCAATAATCATTAAAACGTGTCTTGTGTTATATTATTTTGCTGATGCATTTAAAGTTTTTGTTAATTTTATAGAACTAATAATAGCACGTCAAATCAAAATTATTATTCTTTTAATAATTTTATAGAACTAATAATAGCATGTCTTAGAATCTGTTTGGAAGTGTGGTTGCTATTGTTTTTCAAATAGCTTTTCATGTTAAAATGCATGATAACGATATTTTTTTATTTTTTAAAAATTATTTTTAACATTAGCATATCAAAATGATTTGAAAATATTAAAAATATATTAATTTAAAATTAATAAAAAAATAAAAAAAATTTAAATTTTTTTAAAAATAATTTTAAAACACAGAAACACACAGGCACTAAGACGAGCACTAGTGGTGGGAAGCTTTATCATTTGAAGGTTTCAAAGGGCAATGTGTTTTGAAGCACGTGGTTATCACCGTAAATATTTCATTTTCCGACCAGGAGTGTAGCTGACAAAACAGCAGAAAGCCAAGAGAATCATATACAGCATATCCATCTTCTGCCCAGCTGCCTCATCTCTCGCTTTCTCTCTTCGCTCAGTCCCACACTCAATGGAGATGTCTCTGTCGCGACTTCACTTGCCAAACTCCCAACAATGCTCCTCTCCTCTCTCTTCCTCCCTTTCTCTCCCTCCATGTTTTCATGTCCCTTGCTCTCAAAGACGTCGGCCACATACCACTTGGAGCAGCAGCATTGCTTGCTGCTTGCCCCAGCGGCAGGAATCTGTTGCTGTTATTGAGAAAAATGAGACTAGTACTAGTGTACTGTCTGAAAGAAAAGTGATTCGTTTCGGTTTGCCTAGCAAAGGACGCATGGCTGCCGATACTCTCGATCTCCTCAAGGTAATGTTACTGCATTCTACATCAGTGCACGGTACTGTCTGTCTCTTTCAATTTTCTGTTTTGTCCCCACATATATAAATGAAGTCTGTCTTGATTATTGTTGGGTTTAGGATTGTCAGTTGTTGGTGAAGCAAGTCAACCCTCGACAATACGTTGCAGAAATTCCTCAGGTTTCTAATCTCTCTCGAGATGTTACTTTGATAGATACTATATACGATAAACAGGCATATGTAATAGTTTTACTGCAACTACTCTTGACTCTTGTACAGCTTTCCAACTTGGAAGTGTGGTTTCAACGACCCAAAGACATTGTAAGAAAGTTGTTGTCAGGAGATCTGGACCTTGGAATTGTGGGTTTTGATACTTTCAGTGAATATGGACTGGTAAGCAGAATTAAGGACTAACAACAATAGTGTACTGTAGATGTTATTTGGCTATCTTTTTTTTTACTTGGGATTTATGTCTATTCATTGATGTCTATGAGATCCAAGCTGGATAAATTACTCACCCCTTTTGTGTAATAATTAAAACATACTAAGGATGTTACTCATTGGATCTTTTAGTGAGTAATTAATGTTCATTTATTAGAAAACATTGAATCTTCTTCTCCCCTTTTTAGTTTCAACCTCATAGAGACAACTGAATTTATGTGTTTTTGAAATGTTGGTATTGAGATTCAGTGTAGGAAACCGTTGGCACATGTTCTTGTTCGATTCTTAAAGCATTTCCATCTTTAGAAGTCAGGTTAAAATGCAATAGATGCATGTTTAAACTGGTGATACACTATCTCCCTTAATTTTTCCTTTCCTAAATTGTGAATATCTGGAACATGGTAAATGCTGTTAATGTTGCTAATGGTCGAATCTCAATTATTAAGGGTTCTTGAGCGTTGCTGTTGTTAATTACGATTTCTAATGGAACAAATCTCAACTACACAAAGGGTTCCCAACAATACAAAGACAACTGAATTCTTGTACCTTGCAAAATGCTAAGTATACACAGGCTTTAGAAGGCCATAAACTCTTACTGCAAAGCTAAATTCCCAAGCTTAGGATCGAGCATTGATTATTTTATAAATGTAGGCCAAACTTCAGTTGTATTTGTGTTTCTTTACCTGGTGAATTCAACTGTTGTTTCTCTGTTTAAATATGAAAAGGTATATGGTTGGAGAAATGAAAATCATTTGGTTGCATTATTTCCTTTCCAAGCTTGTTTCCGTTTCTTTCTATCACAATTAAAGAGTGCATTTACATCGGAAACTTATTATTCAATCTAAAACTCCTTGTCAGGGAAATGAAGATCTTATCATTGTTCATGATGCTCTTGGATACGGGGATTGCCGTTTATCCCTTGCAGTAAATTTTCCCTTTTTCTACTTGAAGTCAACTTCAACCTTTGAAGCTGATTTACACATAGTTTTCACCGTCCATAACATCTCATTTTTTTTTTACTTTCAGATTCCTAATCATGGGATATTTGAAAGTATAAATTCACTGAGGGAACTATCACAAATGCCTCAATGGACAGCTTCGAAACCTCTGCGAGTAGCTACTGGCTTCACTCACGTATGATAACTTTATTACAACATACCCTGATCAATGCTTTCTGGGAACATTTTCTCTTGCATTTGCCTTTGGTGAACCATTTGAATTTAATTCTCTCTTGCCTTTATGTACAGCTTGGTCCTAAATTTATGAAGGATAATGGGTTCATGAATGTGACGTTTTCAACTGCTGATGGAGCACTGGAAGCTGCTCCTGCGGTGAGAATCGATTCTTTAACATAAGTGAATCACTTTTTTTCTTATCTACTATTGTTTTTTTGAATGATTTGATATTTCAGGTAAGCCTGAATGAAAAGCCAATAGAATGTTGCCAGTAACCAAGCTTATTTCTACAGTTATTGGATGTCATATATTTACTACCATTACTTATTGAAGATTTAGCTTCATGACACCGACCCTTTCTCTGCTTCTTTTTTTGTTGGACTTCTTTTCTTTTGCGTTTACGGGACATCTATTTTGAATTTATAATGAACATAATCTTTTCACCGATTAGAAAGTGCCCCAGCCCCTTTTTTGTTAGGTTTCTTTTCTTTTGTTTAGTTTTTATCCTAGTCTATTTTGATTCTTTTTACAGGACTTAACTATTTGGTGTTTTATAACAAACTTTACCTTAGCATAGATTAGAAAGAGAATTTCGAAAGTCCAACTTTCTTTCTAGTCTGGTGCATTGATGCAAAGAGAAACAGGGAAGAATCATGTTTTTTTCTTGGCCCACCGGGGTTCTTGCCTCGTGAATGGGGTTCTTGGAAGATAGTTTTGATTTATTTCACCACAACTCAGCAGGCTGCAGTAGACATACAGTTCTTATGTCATCCCCCAGTTCATCATTTCATATTTATTATCAATCTTCTTTTTTTCATGCAGAAAAAAATTATGAGACATGCTCAACTTTTCTTTTATATGACATTGTCTTTCCGTTTGATTTTTCTCATTAAACTATTAACAAATCGGTAAATAGCTTTACAGAATTCGACTGCCTTCACTAACTATGAAAATCCGTTGACCTGTGATTTCAGTGCAGCGAGAATATTTCATTTCAATTTTCAACATTTCATTTAGACATTGTCATGGTTAATGTTTTTGTCCTAGTGCTTTAGTTAGGAAAAAAGGAGTTGATAAGGTCAAGATTTCAGTTCTTAATCTAGAAAAGACTGCATGACTTGATCCTTTTGAGCTGCACTTCTCCAGCTGTGTCTCTTGCTTCTGGTTTTAAGAGTTTCTTATATTGGATGATGATGCTCTGTATCCCCACGTTTCTTTAACTTTTTTCTTCGAAATGATTCATCACAGTATTTATTTGTTTTTCATTGGATTATTTGCATGAGTCAAAAGTTAGAGATCTGACCTTGTTGACATGCTATGAATATTCAGTGACTAGCATATTAAATTCCATCCAACTTCTCACGTTTTGACATCCTCTTGGTTAGAGATATTTTAAGCCAGGTGGGGCTGCAATGAGGTCAAGTGTTCTTAATCTGGAAAATTTTAATTATCATTAACAATAGTCTTAATGAGCTGCACTTCTGCTCTATTCACTTGCGACTTCCACCTCTTGAGCAATGATAATTATGTGAATTTTATAGTCTGGCCATACACATGTATCTACTGAGACTATCGTTTTTCTATTATTGTAGATGGGGATAGCTGATGCTATTTTGGACCTTGTAAGCAGTGGAACAACACTGAAAGAAAACAACTTGAGAGAAATTGAAGGTGGAGTTTTGTTGGAGAGCCAGGTATGCGATCAAGGTGCATTGACTGTAGATCAGTAGAGGGTTTCGCTTTTCTTTTCTTTTCTTCATTTTTGTTTATAAACTGTTTAAATAACTGGTTTTACATTCTGCCTTCAATACATTTTGTCTTACCTTAAAATTCATACATTCTCCAGGCCGTTCTTGTTGCTAGGAGAAAATCATTGGTCGAACAAAAGGACGTGAGGTGCAGAACAAAAGAGATTCTAGAAAGGTTTGAGGCTCATTTGAGGGCGGTTGATCAGTTCACGGTGTGGTTATTCTCAATCTTCACTCTCCCACCTTATTCTCTTTCCTGTTCAGGATCTGTTGTTTTAACACTTTCTCATCTCATGGCAGGTGACTGCACACATAAGAGGAAGTAGTGCAGAGGAAGTGGCTGGACGAGTGTGCAGCCAACCATCTTTGTCCGGATTGGAGGTAAGGTTCGAGACAGAAGCAAAGTTTCTCATGTCCTCAATCTTTAGTTTAAGATCCAATTAATGACTAGCGTATCCGGTATTTTTGCTTGACCAAATTCACACTACCAAAACGGGAAAAATCAAAGACCAAAGCCTCATGGGGCCGAGAATGCTGAGATGCTAACCACCTATCTACCCCCTCAGGTTTTTCAACTTGGAAGCTCAAGTGTATTCTTTTTATTACAGGGACCTACTATAAATCCAGTTTTCTGCAAACATAATGGAAAGGTTACCCCTGATTACTATGCTATAGTGATATGTGTTCCAAAGAAGGCATTATACAAGTCTGTGCAGCAGCTGAGAGAGGTGAGTTGTCTAACCATAATAGACTAATAGAAGCATGATGCTGTGATGCACAAACTGGATCCTTATACAATGCTGAGAAGAGTGCACTTGATATTCTGTTTATTCCTACTCTCACTGTTAGTTGCCGTAAATCTAATCAGGCGGGGTTTGGGTCGGCGGAGTGGTAATCTTATGTCTCATTGAACATTTCATCCTTCAGTCTCTGTATATACAAGTTATATCAATGATGGCTCTGCATAATTTAACTTGGCAATCCTGACACGATAAACTTTTGGTTTGGTGTGGACATGACAGGTCTCCAGAACCCTTCTTTATTGGCTTGAGTTTTGTTATGTATATATGACAATGTCGTAATATCACTCTCTGAACTCTACATTATTACCTCTGATGCATGCATTTAAACCATGGCTAGATTTATTATCTGAATCCCTTCCTAACAGGAATGGGTTAACATGGCTTCTTGTACATATTTTGATGTAGATTGGAGGCAGCGGTGTTTTAGTTTCTCCTTTAACTTACATTTTTGAGGAAGTCACGCCAAGATGGAAGGAGCTTCTTTTAAAACTGGGGTTGTAATTTAGGGTTCAACCACTTCCTTGCAAATTTGAGCCGCTCTCAAGGTCGAAAAGCTTTGTCAAGTTTAATGAATGAGCAGGAGGGGAAGAAGACACGTGAACAAGCCTCTGGTGACTAATGAATTTGGTGACAGTCTGATTTTTTCATGTCATTTTTTTTTCATGAATTTAATCTAAATCAATAAATTAAAATTGAATAAAGATGATTTAATATTATAACAAAAAAATAAAAAGCTTAGTGTCCCTTTCAATGTTTATCTTGATATAGATTATTATGAATTGTAGCTATGTAATAATAAATTTATCATTGTTAAAAAAATCTTGTTAAGCATGCTATAAATCCAGTATAGATATTGATTTGTCATTCAAGTCATAAAATTTTAATCTTTAGATCAGGGTTTTTTTTATTTTTTTTTAAAAAAAAACAATAAAGATACAACTATGTCCTTTAGTATTGTGGGGCTTCTCCATTCTTTTTTGTTATTATTGTTGAAGCAGTTTAAATATAAACTTATTTTTGGATTTCAACAAAAACAAGGTTATATGAAAAAGTGTTTTAGTTTCCATATGATTTTATTATAAATAACATATTAAGTCAATGGTAATTAGATATTTACATGCATATAAATTATTATTTATATTTAAAAATAACTGATGAATTCTATGCATACGCAAGTAGGTGAGCACTACCCTTGCTATTTGGGTGGTGAGTGCAGCCACAAAATAAAACCAAGCTTCACAATAAAGGGTGACATTCAATGGGCCTCACCACCCTAAGCACAGAGACAAGGCACATGTGTTGAGGTGAACCATGAAGGAGCGTCAACTAGGAATCCCCCCCCGCCTCTTCTCTCCTCTCCTTCTATAAAATCGTGTTGCTCATTGCAAAAATATAAATATTTGTCTGTTAAGTTAACTTTGATCATTATTTTTTAACATACCAAAGTAAAATGGATTTAAAATGTTTGTCAGATCTAAAGCGTTTGGACTTAGCACTAGCTATGTCCAAAGTGTTTGGACCTGACAAGTTATAAAGTTCAAAATAATATAAGTCTGTCATATTTTTCAAATCCAAGTTAACATGGTCCTAATATGTTTTTCAGACCCTAGTGCCTAGCTTATAAGGCCTGCAAGTGCTTGATCCATTATATATATATATATATAATTTTTAGTTTTTTAAATAATTAATTATTTATATATATTTTTTCAAATAAATTTTTGGTTTATGTTTTAATTAGATTGCGTTTATTTTTAAATGTTATTAGGTGTCTTTAGTTTTTAAAGATGTACATATGATTTATCTATAATTTTTTCTTATATTATATAGATAAATTCTTTTTAATATTTATTTTTTATAGAATTTTTTATACGTGCAGCCTTGTATTGTTTTTTTTTTAATTATTGTTTAATAGATTTTATATGTTATGTGCAACCATATTTTACATATATATATAATTATTGTTCAATAAATTTTATGTGGGTCTAACATATTTGTTAGATCCAAGAAAATTGGACTTGGCGTTAGCCAAGTTCAAAGTGTGTGAACTAGATGGATAGTCAAGTCCAAAATAACATGAGTCAGGTTTTTTGCCAAATCCAAGTAAAATGGATCTAACATGTTTGTTAGACCTAAAACGTAAACCACGCCCAAAATGCAAGGACCTGGGGAGCTAGCCACGTCTAAAGTAATTGTAGATCTAATATGTCTGTTAGATCCAAGAAACATGGTCAGATATTTTAATGGATCCAAGTAACATGGGTCTAATATGTTTATCAAACTCAAGTATTGTGGGACTAGCATGTTTGCTAGATTCAAGATGCCTAGACTTGAAGTCAACCAAGTCCAAAGTGCATGAACCAAGCAAATAACTAAATTCAAAGTAATATGGGTCAGACATGTTGCTGGACCCAAGTAAAAATAAAGCAGACATGTATATCAGACCTAAATAAACATGGGTTAGGGATGTTTTCCATATTCAAGTAACATCATGTTTTTAATAGACCGCCAAGTCCACATAACATGGGTTTGGCATGTCTGGCAGACTCAAGTAAACATGGATAGAACATGATTGTCAGACCCACGTAACATGGGCTTAGCATGCTTGTTGGACTCAACCAAGGTATATTTGGCATGCTTGCCAAACCCAACCAATATCGATTTGATATACTTATTAGATTTAAGAAATGTGGATCTGAAATCCTTGCCAGACCCAACAAAGATTAGGCCATACATGTTTGTCAAACCTAATTGTTTGGCTTACCAGACCCGCAAGCACCTGACTTGAGTTTTTTATATTTTTTTAATTTTAAAAAAAATAATGCATCATTTGTGTATATTTTTTCAAATAAATTTTTGGTTTATGTTTAGGTATGTATGATTTATCTGAAGTTTTTTTTACTTTTATACAAATTAAATTTATTTTTTTGAATGTTGATTTTTTTATAAGATTTTTCATATATACAACCTTGCATTGGTTTTTTTAATTATTATTTAATAAATTTTATGTGTTATGTATAGCCTTGCTTTATATATATATATATATATATATATATATATATATATATATTTAAATATTTGTGTATGTTGGTTTCCATTACAAATTTTATGTGTTTTTTTATTACAATTTATTTTGATAAAAGAATTTATTAAACATAACTACGTAAATTACTAGTGTTGCGATGTAAGATATTTTGATATTTATTTTTCACTTGCTTTTCTCAATTTTATTTTTGTGTTTTGTTTTTTATTATTTTACACAATGGTTCTTGAGTTCTTTAATTAAATATGTGCATAGATTTTTCAATTTCTATCTAGAAGTTTATATATATATATATATATATATATTGAGAATTTATTGGAGGAAACTATTTGGTAAAAGCTTCTACAAAAAAGTTTAAAGGTTTTAGGTGTTTTTAGGTTGCTTTTTCTTGGGCGGAATTTATATTCTTAGACGAGAGTTCAATATATGTGTCAGTAATTTTATACACGAGGTTCAAATACATTGATAGATACATAAAATGTTTTTCAAAACATTTAACTAAGTTATTCAAGTTATTTGAACAACAAGGAGTTGACAAAAATTTATTACTCTTTACTTTTTAATAATTATTGAGACTTCACTTCTTACTTAAAATTTAGGTTTCTATATTTTTTTTGGTTTATCATACTACTAATTATTTTGAATTGCTCAAACAATGTTTATTTAGATTGATATTTCTTTATAGTTTACAATTTAATTCTTGTATGAAATTTAAGATAATTTAAGTAAATTTTTTGCATGGTAGTCATTTATTACTTGAAAGCTAAATTATATACATTCTAATACTACCAGCTTTTAATTACATGCTTAGAAAGCACTCTAATTACATGCTTTGAAAGCACTTTTTTAGAAAGCACTTTAATTACATGCTTTGAAAGCACTTTTTTTTCTTTAATTATCTTACAATTACACACGTTTTTAAATGTAGTCTGCGGCAACATGCTTGCAACCTATCTAATACATGATAAAAATAGAAATAGCTATGGCTATTATAAACCATCAAATTCCATCATGTTGAAGAACAATGGATCATATTTTAAACTTCACCCAAGTTTGTATTTTCTTAACGTGTTCCAAAAAGATCTTTCTAGTCTAGTTCCTCTTTTTTTGTGATGCGAAGTGGCAGTCAGCCATAGTTTTATAGCCACAATGGAAACTTGCAGTGGCCAGCAGTCAGATCATCAGATGGCCATTTGCAAATGGTATACGGATGCTGTTCTGGAAAATAGAGCCGGAATAAAAGCATAGACCAGACTCCATAAAGGAAGCTTAGAATACCTATTTGAATCAGTTCCATATCCAAGCTATCTGTCATGTTTCCAAGCAGTATCTCTTCTCACCATTGCTTTATTTCATTGGTTAATTGAAGCTACTATTAAGAATTGAATGACTCAATTAACTGAGCAAGGGAAATTCCCAGGCACCAAAACACAGAGAATCAAGACTGGATTAAAATGATAATAAGAGAGTAAATTCCGTCACCGTCAAAATTATAATCAAGGCCTGTTCGAATACCATGTGCAACACTAAATGATGGAATATCAGTAGCTGAACCTATTTGTAATGCCTGGACTGTAATTTCTACCACACAATACAGCTCCAGCTTCATTAATCCCTACGTCATTTGGCTTGCAATCTTTCTCAAACTGGCCTGAAATAATACATTCTTCTTTTTGCATCATCTAGTGACAATAAAGTTTTATCAAAGAATCAGCACCAGCTGTGAATAACCAAGGTTGCCGTGGGTGAAACTTGCAGTCCAGTACTCCTACAATACAATCCAGAATCAATTACAACTGTGTCAGTTTCGTCTCAACAGTTGATGTTGGGAGGGTTCTTTTGACTGGTATGTAAATGCATTAGCACATATACAATATGACGTGCTACAAATACTACACAGGAAACAGACAGTTTAACCACAGTGCAACCCCCCTACTATCACTTCTAGCAATAAATGAGAATCAATTTGATAACTCGTATCATTATGTGACGAGAGGAGAGTATTAATAGCCAAAATGGATAAGTACTTCCTGTTATATCTGTCCAACCAGCCAATGAAGATGAAGAGTGATGATTATGAGAATCAAAATATGTTGAGCATTGCAGAGGTGAAGTTGTATCAGATCTGTAGTGAACATGGATTTTTTTGCCCCAACTCAGATATTGTAAAACAAATTATGGCTGCGCTTTGGCCAAAACTGTTCTATTATTGGAAAGTCATATCCTTCAAGTGCTTATGAGGAATAGACAAACACCCCAGCCAGCTTTGCTCAGAGTAACTACTAGTAGTACATGCTCAAATTTCAACCCAATCCTAATTCACGAATAGGACATGTATCTACCCCATACTTGACAATATGTGTGCATATGTGTATGTGACATGTGCATCAAGAAGCACTGACCTCTTCCATTTGAAATTGCATGTCCACGGAGAATTTCCAGAGGAACAATAAGAGGATTCTGATTAAGATCTGAATAAACTGTTCCATGAAAAACATATGCAGTGCAATCATCAGAGCATGATGCAAATAATGGGTATGAACGGTGGAAGGCCACATTGGTTATGTCTTTGGGATGACACCTGAGAAATTAGAAATTCACATCATACAAGGCATGAAAAGAAAATCACATCAG